CCCACACCCTTTTTGCACTCTACCGTATATATGGGGAATGACTATCTAGATAGAGCGAGCGATACATATAGGATATCAGCAGATATCACATGCCTATAAAGAGATCCACTTACAAGATATTATATGTGATATATTGACAGAGATGATATTCGAAGAGATATATCAACGTAAAAGATCAAGAGATGTGATATATTAAGAGATACATTCAGGTAAAAGTTACAGAGAGACGATATGAAAAGAGATAAAGATGTTCACCAAGGCAAAAAAAAATAAGTAACACCTGAATATGTTAGAAGAAGATATTATAACATAACAAAGATAACAATCTGGTGATTAGCAATATCTGAAAAAATAATGTCTGGTTTGTTGTCGTCATTAACGTCACCCACTACTATAGACCATGGTTTTGTGAAAACTCCTGTTGCATACGTTCTTTGAGGCTGAAATATACCATTGCCAAAGTTGAGAAAAATACCAATGTTCTCTTTATTAGAGTTGGCAACGATGATGTCAGGTTTGTTGTCGCAATTTATATCAGCCACAAACACCGATCGTGGCTGTGAGTCGACTCCAGTTGAATATATTGTTTGATTAAGAAATTTACCATTGCCAGCATTGAGAAGAACACCAACATTGCTCGTTTTTAAGTTACCCACAATAAGATCAGGTTTATTATCACCGTTCACATCAGCTACAAATACAGAGTTTGGATGTGAATCGACTCCAGTTGAAAATATTGTACAAGAAACAAATGTCCCATTACCGGAATTAAAGAAAATGCCGATATTAGCACCACCAGAGTTTGCGACAATAATATCAGGGTGAGCATCGCCATTGACATCCACTACTTGCGGATGCATCACACCGGACTTATCCGGAACATCGTAAAGTTGTTGAGATGAGAATTGACCGTGACCAGAGTTTATGAAAACACCAATAGTGTTCGTATTTTGGTTTGTCACGACAATATCAGGTTTTTGATCGCTGTTAACATCAGCCACTGCAACTCCTGGTGGCCATGTTTTGTCTCCAGTTCCGTAAAGTTTTACGGCATGAAACTGACCAGAACCATTATTGAGAAAAACACCAACACTATGTCCCCGATTGTTTGCAACAATAATATCTGGCTTGTCGTCATCATTGACGTCAACGACTGATATATACTGTGGACCTGATTTATCTCCAGTTGAGTAAGCTACTTGTTCAGAAAAATAACTACCTTGAACGTTGAAGAAAATACCAGCGTTGTCTGTATCCTGATTAGCCACAAGTATATCAGGCCTGTTGTCGTCATTAATATCAGCGAGCGATACAAAAACTGGTAATGACTTACAGCCAGTTGAGTGCGTCTCTTGTGTTTCAAATTCCATTTGACATTGCTCTATTACAAACAAAAATTGTTTTTATTACTTGTGTGTAGTAACATGTACATATCATCTCAAATAGTGTTAGAATCGGCCACCAATGATTTATACATGAAATCATACACGAAAAGTCTATTGAACGAAGTGAGAATGACATTACGAAGAGTTTAGGATATATATGTGAGTAGGTTTTATCTTAGACATTTAATGAACTACGTCCATTCTGAGGATCTTACTATTAATACCTTTATGTACGAGATAGAGTGTAAATGTCCTCATCGTTCAATGTACCGATACAAAATCGACAATATTTTCCAATTCAATGTTTTCTTTTTTGGTATTATTCACTAACCTAGTTACGATCAATGGAAAACTTTTTCTCAACTAATATAAGGTTTATGTCATCACTTAATCAAAAGTATGAAACACTTAGATAATACTCACCTCTTTGTGGTGATGTCGTGATTACTGACGTAACCATTTTTGCAATTGTTGTAGTTTTCTTATCTAGAGAGAGTCAAACAGTTATTGTGATTGAAAAATATACAAACAAAATAAAAAACGTTAATAGGATTCATGAAAAGGCAACGTAAATAAACTCTTTCACATCGCTTTACAACCTCTCCAAAAATCTATCTGGGTCGCTTATGCCTACCACGGTCCTTTTCATTTTAGTGTGACTTTTGATAAGAGAAAACACCTTCAATTCAAACAAATTGTGAGTCTTCCGAGTCTTTAAATACAAAGCGTATCTCTACTAGTATATTGTATCTAGTTTTTCGGGTTACGGCTCTCTGAGCCTGCGGGTATGTAGATCTATGGGTTTGCGTGTATGCGGATCTGCAGGTTTGTAAATATATATTATATACACTAGTATATGGTGTCTCTTATTTTGGCCTACGGATTACGAGAGTTTTGCGGGTTCTTAAATAGCTGTCATATATATATATATATATATATATATCTAAAGACCCACAAGACTCACAGCCCAAAAAATAGACACCCTGTGATAGTTTATATATGCAATATACTAGCAGGAGTACCCGATGTTGGTCGGGAAAATTTGAAAGTACATATTTGGCAGATGAGAACACGGGTCTGGGTGTGAGTGAAGGTTTGAAGTATATGTGCGATTGTTTTTCATCAGCACACACAACCACTCATAACGGCACCACATACACATCCTCGCACACTCATTCTCGCTCTCACTCTCATCCACCTATTCACCCACTCCCTCACCCTCGCCCACTGCCTGACCATCACCCATTTCGTCACCCTCACCCACTCTCTTCCTCACCTCATCTTCACTCGCACTCAAGAACTACGAAAAGCACTCATATACACATTATTTTCCTTAGAATACGTTAAAGAATTTCTGATTTTCATAAACTGGGTGATACTTCACCCAACCACCTCCTCCCCTATTGACCTTTCTCTGGACGTAGGGAACTGCCATGTAAATTCCGTCACGCTAGCTAATACTGGGTTCTCTGGGTGAAATTCCACCCACGCCCTCTCCGCACCCCTCGATAACCATGCGAATCTCCCAGAGACCTTTCGTGGGATCTGGAAGCATCGCGGAAAGTTTGGTCATCGTAGCTATTACAGGGACTGAATGTATAGCGAACAGTCAAATATTCTTCTCTATATATACAGATGTCTGAAGACCCGCACGACGCATAGCCAAAAAAACATAGGTACCGTATACTAATAAATATATGATATATGTTTAAAGACACAGAGACCCATAGTCGAAAAGAAATGATGGATATTTGCTTTATATGAGAATGTAGGCGGTAAGTCATTTCGTGATAAAAGTGGCATTTAAGTTGTGATCAGAATGAGGAATTGTATGTGAATAGAGAGGGTGGGTGTGGAACAATAAAGGGCTGTTAAGTCACATCTATTGACGAAGCTACTTATTTTGTGAAGTCCCAGAAAAGCCGCAAGTTTCAGAAAAAAAGTCCCCTTTTTTGTTGCCAAACCAGGATGTGGGTGAAAGGTCAAAAAAACATCGAAAATCAAATTTTAGGAAAAGACATTTCTTGAGATATTTCGATGCTGGGACTTCGAATGTGGGCCACATTTGTTCAGACTACTGAAGGGAGGAGGGGGGGGGGAGTGTGAATTGAGAAAATTGTTGTGAACTGATAGAAATCTACTTTTTGGGTAATGCTTTTTTATAGGTATTCAAATGTTCCCCTGGTTATAGTGCAGAGTATGGCGACCATAATCGACTGGCTTTCTTGCACATATGATTACTAACACTTCACTTATTCATTAAAGACTAGTTCGACAAACCAATCATGCCGACACTTCTAATATGTTTTGATCTGCGTCTACCGCTGAATAGGATGCGAGCATTTGCTAAGAGTAAGGCACAACAAACGAGAGCAAGGTTTTCAATTGTTTTTTCAGTAAATATGAAGAGGGTGCATTTCTACGAGAAAGAGTTAAGCGAGTTTTCAGAAGATCGTTACTTGTTGCTATTGCTTACGAGGGAGCATATTTGAGTGTACTCATGCAAAAGGAGATTTAAACTATTGTATCTTGTAAGGCTGTCCTTGGGTATCTCACATATATATATCTTAGCTACCCTCGTTTAGATTTGAGGGAAAAAAAAGACATAACTTTTTCAGTTTTACAGCAGAAGTCATCACTGGAAGGGGTTAAAAAAGTGATTACATAATTTTCGAATGAGGGTAAAGTTATTATTCACAAATTTTGTGATCATCTTTTTAACCCCTTCCAGTGATGACTTCTGCTGTAAAACTGAAAAAGGTCTGTTTTTTTTTCCCCTCAAATCTAAACAAGGGCAGCTAAGATATATATATATGTAAGATACCCAAGGGCAGCCCTACTAGATACAATAGTTGAAATCTACTTTTGCACGGGTACACTCAAATATGTTCCCTCGTTAGTTTGGTTTTGGGCATGTTTTAGACATACTTTTATCTAACTTTGTTTTAATATCTTCTTTATTTTTTTACAATTATTCATATTATGAAATGTTAATTAATAAAACAATAAAACTCTTTTTCTGAAGGATAAAAAATATTTAAAGAAACTGAACTCTCATCTTTATGAAATATTGTGATGGATAATGAATCGCTTAATCATTATCAGATTTATTTCAACTCCTTTTTTCGATACTGATAATAGTAAAGAACTAAAATGTTCGAAAATCTGTTATATTATTAGCTGCCGGCCCCAGTTCGAGTATACAATGGTACTCGGCACTCGAACCAGACTTTCTTTTGGCACCCAACGCCCGAACCGACCCGGCAAATTTTACCTAAATCTATGCTTCGGATCGGGACAGGTCCGGGTACCCAGCTGGTTTGCAGGACTCTATTAAAAAGAGAATACCCACATCTACTCTCAAGACCAACTATACCTCTTATTGGTGTTTCTTTATTCGCTTGAACTCCCCACCAATATTTTAGAACAAGAATTGTTAGAGCACCACCAACTATAATCCCAACGATCACAAGAATAATCGTGCAGCATACTCTTTTTCTCTTTGAAGAGCTCCTAAAAATGAGCATATTATTGACTTTTGTAGTGCAAAAAAAATTTATATACACTGTTGTCATTGAAGAAAGGTGTCCTTCAGTTGTATTCGTGACCATTTCGTAGTTCTAAAAATGAGTTGGAAAAAAATAGGATTGTCTTATCTTTTTATTTGTAATAAGATCAATAACATACTTCATGATTTTCATTTGCTGTTTCATTCTTGCTCGACATTGTTCTAGAATTTGTTTTAATTTCTTCTCCTAGAAAAAAAAAGAGTAGTATAAAACTATGATTTTTATCAATGATGTTAAATGAACATTCAGCATAATTAGTACTAATATCTACGTATCGTCTGTATGAGACCTTCTTTTACGGATTCTGATAGTTCAAAATGTAGTCGTGTATGTTATGATCATCGAGCACTCATTTTCATACTTTTACTACAAATCACTATCTAATCTCTTTAAAATTACATATAAAACGAAGGATTACTTAGCCAATAATTTTTTTACTCAACTGATCTATCAATCTAACAAATGCGACGTTCTGAATCATCGACAAATAAAAACTTGATTCTGTTTGTGCGACTCTTTTTTCTAATAAATAAAAGCAGATGTAAGTGATTATCCAGCATAAATACAGAATATGTCAAAAAACCGTGCATGATTTTCATGCAGGATACGGAAACAAATTGTTTCAATCAACATTTTTAGTTACTTTTGATAAAAGAGCGATACAATAAAAATTCTTATTTTGCGTAGGAAGTACATTTTTATGACGTAGAAAAATTGTTGTTAAATAGAGAATTTTATTCCACTGCATCTGTCTCCAGAAATAACATTTAACAACACATCATATTTTTTTCCTGTCTTTCATTTTACGTTCATCATAAACGCATAAAACTCGCCATGCCCATAATCGATTTTTGTCGGCAGACAATATCTACTTGGAAAATATTTTTTCTCAATCTCAATGTTTTTCAGCCACCAGTTGGCAGTGATCAAAATGAAGATGAACAACAACGTCGATTCAATATTATTGTTACTCGAATCTATCTAGTTCTTCTCACATGTCTTCTCATTTATCTCGGTCTTTTTACATATTCAGATGTGAAAGACATCACCGAGAAACAAGATAATCCGCCTAAAATAGAACTAGATAGCTTTCCTGCCGATGTAGAGTGCCCGTGTTCTCGTATTTCACTCTCATATGGTGAGTTTATTTCATTGGGACCGATTTTACATCAAATATGCAAGAGTGATTTTGTGCTTGATCGTTGGACTAAAGCCATCTACTCTGACTCGAACGTCACGTATTTCAATTTAAACGACTTTCGAACTTTTGGTAGTGCACAATTTCAAGCATTAGCCGGTTTCTGTGATCAATCAATATCTTATCTTGAACAAAATATTGATTCATTTGAAAAAAGCAAGTTTATAAGTCCACAACTTTTGCCGAGAAATCTTTTTCAAGAAGAAACTCAAACAGCTATTATTCGCTTTCAACAGTCTCTACCTCGAGCATTTGCAGCTCAATTAGAACTAATCCTTCAAGTAATAAGCAGCAATCGACTTATGTCTGGTCTTCAAACAAACTTTATTATATCATACGACGATAACCCTGAAGTTAACCCCGCCATATATATTGACAGGAATAAGGCATCGTGCGATTGTGTTTCGGATTATCGATGTACTTCTAAGGCTATCTTTAGCGACATATTCAATGCATCAACACAGTATGATTTCGGTCGTAAGATTAGGCTGCCTGGATTAGCATCAGGTTGTTTGCCAGTGACTTCGATTCTTGCATCGACACTTGAGTGTTTTTACAGTCAGACATGTTTGAACACTCTTATTTCAGTATTTCAAACAGAAGAAAATTTCTCAGCGATGGCAGTTAGCAATATCAGTCGTTTTGGTCAATATGCAACCGTGAAATCAATCGTTGATAATCTGATGGTGGAAGATTGGTTGATGAACGTATCTTATGAAAAGTATCGCGATAATTGTGCACCTCTTTCTTGCACTTATCAAAAGAAAATGAGAAATACTTTACTAGAGGTGATGGTAAAACTCATTGGTTTACTCAGCGGCTTGATATGCGCACTAAGACTAGTGCTTCCAATTATTGTTCGATTCATCCTGAATAAATTAAATAATGTACAATCTCCACCATCTGGTCTGACTCGTAAGTAATTCTATTCTCATGATAACTATACTCTCTTTAGGGTTCGGCAGCTCCGACTTCTAGGAGTCGGTCTTTTTTCATAACGCATCCAGAGTCGAAGCTAGAACCAAGATCAGGCGAAGATCATTGTTACGGGAGCCGGAGCTGATATCAGAGCCCTTGACAACCGTCGGCTTCGATTCGAATCCGAATTTTTCCTATCTATTGACTTTGTATGATTGTCTAGAGTGGATGTTCAATGAATTTGATAGGGACAGGACTAGAGAGCTCCTGCACTGAAGCTGAACCGGCTCCTAAGAGCCGATCTTTTTTAAAAACGGAGCCGGAGCTGCTCTGATACGGTTCTTCTGTCAATTTATATAATTTCAATTTCTAGTTCGTGAACGTTTGCGCCGACTGAAATTGGCTTTGAAAAAGTTAATCGTTGAACTAAATACCTTTCAATATTTTCCTTGTAATGATCGACAACTTCGCTATCAACGTCATGCTACTCGACTGTATATATTCTTAATCATCATTTCGGTTACAATCCTAGCTGCATATAATCTAGTGGACAAATCAATTCATCGCCGTACTTTTACTAATCCATCCGAATCCGAATACCTTAATCTTGAAGAAGAACATAAAAATAATCTGATCTGTAAATGTACATCTATATCTATAGACTACTCCTCTTTTATAACTATTCAACCTCGATTCCATCAAATATGTTCTAGTTACTTGATTACTTCAGAATGGATTAAGTACAGTAATTCGGAGAAAAGTGCTATTAAGTACATACTCGACTATCGAAATTGTGCTAGTAGTCAGTTTCAAACATTGGCGATGTTGTGTGAGCATGCTCAGAATACAATCAATGATACTCGTGATATATTTTTGCAAAAACAGATTGTCAACTCACAAACAATCAGTAAACAATTGTTTCAAACTAAAATGAACCGCTCTATTGAAAGTTGGAAATCGTCCATTATCAGTCAATTTGCACGCAGGATGGAACTTGTTTTAATTACCACAAAGACAAATCATTTGATGAATCGTTTGAATATTTTTTTTCAAAAGGGGGGGCTATTTAAAAATCAGTTAATAACTGAGCCCCGCACGTATGGTGGTTGTAATTGTGGTGTGAATTATACATGTACCGAACCCATGAGAATATACGAATATGTCAGAGGCGTTCTTACGCCAAAATATACAATTCCTAATTTTTTTCTGGGTTGCTATCTGGTCGAAGCATTGTTTTCATCGACATTGGAATGTTTCTACAATGAACCATGTATGTCTAACCTTCGTCATTTTTTTCATTCGTCTCTCAACGAATTGTGGACTTTTCCAGCACTCAATTCAAGCCTTAGTGCAGCTAATGAGTCGATTGGATCGATTTTCGATGAAGTGATGATTGATGAGTGGTCAGTGGATGTCAATTTTACTTCTTATTACCACAAATGCGCTCCAAAGACATGTACCATCGATTATAACAGTCGTCAAAGTCTCTTGGAGATTGTGACCATTATTACTGGTGTTTTTGGTGGCTTGTCCATTGGTTTTCAGCTGCTCATCTGGATTGGCCTTAGATTAATTGAAAAATTCATCAAGGGATTTTCTTGGAAACTATCTTTGCAGCTTGTAAAACAGATTTTTGGCTGGAATGATGAACAAAAGTTGACACGTCGATTACATATCATTCTAGTTATAGTGATTCTCTATGCTCTCTACGTCCGTCATGCTTTTCGTCCTCAGTTAACTGAAGAGCAATTTGAGAAACCATCACTGGCCGTTTATGAAAATCTAACTAGACAGTATCCCGATTCTCTGCATTGTTTTTGCTCAAATATATCCATTCAGTATGATTCCTTTCTTAAACTAAACGCTAGTTTCTACCCACTATGTCGGATAGACTTCGTTTCAGAAGCATGGACTGTATTTTACAGTAATCCCAATCATTGGCTTTCATTCCATGCAAGCTTTGGGTATGCAGGCGTGGCACACTTGCGTGTGTTCCAGTCACTATGTACATTGTCTAACGACACAGCTTACGATTCAATCAATCAATTATTAACAAGTCGTCTAGTGAATACTGAGCTGTTATCGCGAACCTCATTAACCGAACAATTTCGAGCGATTATTGATGATTTCAATTCGACAGTACCTAAAATATTAGTCAATACATTTGCACTGACTCGCATGGTAGTAACTACAAGTAAGTTAATGACTACCTATGGTAACACTTGGGTGTTCAAGGTTCCACCGAATCCGGTTACTTCCATTCTGCGCACACTGTACCAGTCACTAAGGAAGGATGCAACTGCGGATTTACTTCAACGTGCACCTGGTTTTATCGTGAAGTGCAGATGGGTTGTTACGTAGTCGAAGCTGCCTTGAAATGGTCACCCGACTGTCTCCTTAATCTAAAAGAATGTTTGAAAGTAACAAATATTTCTCTGGCATTGAATAGCTCTGCTAATCCAAGTCGTTTCCCTATTAATTCAACTTTTGAATCCGTTTTCAATGAACTAATGTTGGAGAAACTTGTTCATACTGTATCCTATGATAATTACTTTCATCAATGTGCACCTTCATTATGTGTTCGTTCTTATATCAAAAAAAGTAATCTAATCGAAGGGATTACAATAATGATTTCTCTCTATGGTGGTTTAGTAATCATCTGTAAGTTCGTTGCGGTGGCTATCGTCAAACTATTACGATGTCGATCAGTTCGAGTTACGCCGACGACAAACTGATCTGACAATAAACATTTTACCCTCTGCTTTATTTGATCGATGTGCTAATGTTGGTGCAGAACAATACATATGACTTAAAAAATGACAAAATTCTTTGACTGTCTTGAGGATGGATGTAGATAAAGAAGGATTTGTTTACTATTAACGTCAACAGATGACACTCCATGACTCTAATTCTTGACTTAATCGGCATAAAGCCGAGGTATTTTCTGTATTAAATAAACATTCAGTACTTTCGATAAAGGGTCTAGTATTTCGATTTGACAAAGATACACACTATCAAACTCATATTATTCTTGAAGCTTCTAATAGTAACAGCTCCTATTTTATTTTGTCCTGTTTCATGTGCTAGTATGAAGAAAAAACAAAGATTTTCTCTCACAAAGTTTTGACTAAGAATTCACAGTAATGAATATTGAACAATATCTAACTATGTTTTGGTTGGTTTTTAGAAATGATAAATTTGATCTTTTTTTATTTGAAATAATTATATAACATAACTAAAATGTATCTCATTTCACAAAAAGAATGCTACTACGTACAGCTAGATGAGGTAGCTAAAACATCGGGTGTGGGTGGGTGTGGGTGTGGGTTTGTCTATCATTATTCACCCACACCCACTACAACCACACCGCACCCACACCCACACCCACACCCACACCCACACCCACACCCACACTCACGCCCACACCCACACTCACGCCCACACCCACACCCACACCCACACCCACACCCACACTCACACTCACACCCACACCCACCCACACCATCAGGAATTGACCATTATTTCTATGACAGTTTCTCCATTTATGAAAATGAATACAAAAGTAAAAAGTATCATGGGTACTATATTTTTTTAATCGAAATATTTAAAGAAATATGAAAGAATTGAACAGGAATTCTAATAAAAATAATATATAGAAGAACTGATATTTACGATTGGAAACAGTTGTTTGAGAAAATTTTGGCGGTTGTTTTTGTAAAAAATTCGTTGAAATAATATAAAGAAATAATCCGTTTTTATTTAGAAAAATTTTTGATAAAAATAAAACTGACTTTTGTAAAACATTTGTTGTACAAATATAGCTTTCAGGTTCTCTTGTTCAAGAATTAATTTGAGCTTGACAAGTTGTTTGAAGAAAAATCCATTGTTGCCCTTTATTTAAAAATTTATATGGTTCACTTGTTCCCCTTCCTTTATCTTTCCCTACAAAATAGAAAAAACTAAACTCTTATTTAATTTGAAAACATAATTAAACAAACATAATTGATATGCTCGAGTCATAATTGACAAGTCGTCTGGATGAACAAAGTCAAAATATGTACAACCAATTAATTCATATGAGGTATAACCAAGAATTTGTCGAGCTCTAAGAAAAAGAAAAATTAAAATATTTAATTTTTCAACAGACAAACTTTGAATCAACATAAATAAATCTTCCATGAAGATTTAAACGAGTTGTAAATTCATTTGTTGAATTATGTTCATTTATTGTTAGTGTCCGATCTATTGTATTTACTTTAACAATTGACATGAGATATTTTTCATCAGTTTTATTGCTAACTAAAACAAAACTAAAGGAAAATTATTTTTCTTGTTTTTGTAATTTTTGTTTTGTTTAACCTTGTCTAAATGCTCCAATAATTGTGCATTCTTCACATTCATCAGCTGTACCTCGTCTCCAAGATAAATTACATTTTTCAATAACT